GCGACCCTCAAGAGGATGAAGCGGTTAGAAGATGAATGAATGAAGATGACGTTGGCATAAGACATTTGAAAGCCGTTGGATTTTGGTAACTTAACAACACAACTTAAAACCAACAAAATATCAGTGTCATCTGTTGGCAGTATTCTATGTCAAATTGATGTCGACATTAGATGTTGTGCTGACATTCAATTTTGGTCACCTGACTTCACAACCTAGAATCAACCAAATATCAATGACTAATGACATTAGTGGCTAAGTGGGATGACTGCTGCAGTGACCCCCCGGCTTTTCTACAGCACCGTCTCTTAGCCCAAGTTTCCAGTTTACAGATGCAGCCACTTCAAATTTCCCAGGCCCTCCAAAAGCCTTCCAGAAGCCTGCCAATGTCCAGCCAATTTCCAGCCAAATACCAACCCCCCTAAGAGAGAGAGAAGCATAATATTTATGACCTTTGATATGGTAGCCTGACAATCATTAAATATGCTCTGTGTGAGAAGCTCTCTCAGTAATAACAGGTGCAGTAAACCGCTTCAGCTTCCACACTCACTGCTCCTCCTGGTGGATAGACAGACCATTGCAACTGGTTTCTACAAATTAAACTTAGGGGCGTTACCAGTCGGCCTTGTATTCTCTACGTCATCGCGGGGGATCTCATTAGAGCTACAAGCCCGGCCAGGTGACAAAAGGGACCTGTCACGGGTCGGTCAGGGCTCTACCACGGGCCAAACGGAAATTTGAAGTGGCTGCATCTGTATATGCACAGAATATTAAAACCTAATGAGTAGATTGCACATTCATGCTCCTCAGAGGATGAAATGAGCTAATCTCAAACACCACTTTCAGGGCCAAAGTTTGCAATTGCATCATCTAACAAGAGGATTGCAGTGAGCACAATATGCTCCCAGATGGATAAGCTAACTATGAAAAAATGGACTAATTTGTGCTGCAAGACTGCCTTATCACACCATTCTACAGCTCCATTTCAAGGTTTGTTGAGACTGTGTGTGTGTGTGTGTGTGTGTGTGTGTTTGTGTGTGCATGCGTGCATGTGTATGCCCACATCTTGCTGAGTCAGTGATGAGGAGAAGTTTGTTTGCTCTGCTCTGCCAGCATGTCCCTGACCCCTTTGGAGGGACACCAGAGGAACCTTTGAGTCTCCATAAGAGTGTCCAGCTGAGCAGGCTCTGTGCTGCCATGGCGTGCCGTACCGTTAAGCCTGCAGCAAGGCCGATGGCAGCATCCAGCAGCTCCATGGGCCAAACCAGCCATGCTGGCAGAATCACAGGGGCTGGAAAAACTCCCCCGCCACTGAGTCCAGATGGACAGATAATGGGAAAGAGAGCTGCGTGAAGGGAGGAAGAAAGAAGTGATGTGGGAAAAACACACAGTTGTGAACGATCGGGGAAATAATGTTTGGCTGTACAATTAATCAGGTAGAACTGCACATAATGGTTTAATCTCCAAAGATTTGAACTGTCATGTCAGCAATTTCGGAAGTAAAGTAATTTCACTCTCCACAGCAGAATCTGTGGTGGAAACTGGAAACTGTCAAGATATTGATATAAGCGGTAAAAAGAGCTAGAAAATAGCTTCTCATCAATAAAGCAGAAAACACTTGTGAGCAGGGATGAGACATGTTGCTTTTTTTAAGATATAAACACA